CGCCAACGTGGACGTGGACGCCGCGCGCCTGGGCCAGCTGGCCGTGATCAAGACGCTGACGCGCCAGACCATTTTCTTGCCGCTCGTGGGCTTGGTGGCGCCGCAGGCGTTGAAGCCCAACGACTTGATCGGCGTCAACAAGGACTCGTACCTCATCTTGGACACGTTGCCGTCCGAGTACGACCTGCGCGTCAAGGCCATGGAGGTGGACGAGAAGCCCACCGAGGACTACCTGGACATTGGCGGCTTGGACAAGCAGATCGAGGAGTTGATCGAGGCCGTGGTGTTGCCCATGAAACAGGCCGACAAGTTCAAGGCGCTCGGCGTCAAGCCGCCCAAGGGCGCGCTCATGTACGGCCCGCCGGGCACGGGCAAGACGCTCCTTGCGCGGGCGTGTGCGGCGCAGTCCGGCACGGGCAAGACGCTCCTTGCGCGGGCGTGTGCGGCGCAGTCCGGCGCCACCTTCTTGAAGTTGGCCGCGCCGCAGTTGGTGCAGATGTTCATTGGCGACGGCGCCAAGTTGGTGCGCGACGCGTTTGCCTTGGCCAAGGAGAAGGCGCCCACCATCATCTTCATCGACGAGTTGGACGCCATCGGCACCAAGCGCTTCGACTCCGACAAGAGCGGCGACCGCGAGGTGCAGCGCACCATGTTGGAGCTCTTGAACCAGCTCGACGGCTTCGGCTCCGACGACCGCGTCAAGGTCTTGGCCGCCACCAACCGCGTGGACACCTTGGACCCGGCCTTGTTGCGCCTGGGCCGCTTGGACCGCAAGATCGAGTTCCCGTTGCCCTCGGAGGAGGCGCGCGAGTCCGTGTTGAAGATCCACGCCCGCAAGTTGAACTGCGACAGCGCGCTGGTCAACTGGCGCGAGTTGGCCCGCTCCACGGACGAGTTCAACGGCGCGCAGTTGAAGGCCGTGACGGTGGAGGCGGGCATGATCGCCTTGCGCAACGGCAAGCTGGTCATCCGCCACGAGGACTTCGTCGAGGCCATTGGCGAGGTGCAGGCGCGCAAGTCCAAGTCCGTGAACTTCTACGCCTAGGTTTGCCGGTGGTTTGCGAGCAGTCCATGGCTGCGCCGGCCTGGGCCGCGTGTGCACGCCGGTGCTCCTGGCGAAGCCTTGACGTTGGAGCGCATGCGCTGGTGACGAGCTGCGACGACACGTGACGCTGGGGCAGCCAAGCGATGTGGTTGTATCATTGGCGCAAGAATGTGGACGACTTATAGTCAGGCATGTGGTCCTTTGGTGCTAGAATGTAGGACAGTCTACAGTCAAGCATGTCACTCTGATCCACCGGTATACATAGCCCTGGAATAACCACTAGTATGTTTCTACTAGCGTATGTAAAAGTGGACTTCAGCATTGACATGAGCACTTGCCTTATACATACGACCTAATGAGAACAAACGAGGCTGTACATCATTGGTATGAGAGCATGCAGAGTAGGCATACACATATAAGAGGCTCCACTAGTACTTTCATGTCCGCGTATGTGAAGCTCCTCTCAATTGGTTCGACTTATTGAAATGTTGATCCAAAAACGCATCAGGCTAGTAATGGTGCCCGCGTTGTGGGACGTATGTGAGACGTGATATCCCAACAGCGTATATCAGGCTACCGTATACAAGCTTTGGTACTTATGTAGATAGTGTCGAACGAACCTCCGTAACACCTCGCCGCCGTCTGTCTCGCATAAATAAGTTTGGCCCAAGCTCGTCCAGAATAAATGCCACATGATAAGCAATTACAGGTATCCTTGTGAGCTCATTTCGGGCATTAGATTACAAGCGTGTTGCGGGCAAACGCAGAGCTTTTCCTAAGACCATGGACACCCGCTCCCCTTCCTACATTCTCGTCGGTCCTCAAGGTCGTATATTTGGTTTTTCCTAAATTCAACTCTCTTCTCTGTCAAGGCCTTTGCTCCTTTAAACAGCCTCACTTCTGAGCCTTTTTCAACTCCTCGCGCAACTTCTCGGTGAACTCGTCATTGTCATCATCGTCATCCCAGTCCTCTTCCCAAAGATTCGCCGAGTTGAGCTGTGAATTGGGCTCGCTGGTCCACTGGGCATCCTCAGGAAAATCCTCAAACTCGTCTTCCTCCTCTAGCGTCTTGATGATCTTTTCCTGTTCTTGCTCTGACATTCCGGTGACTTGCGTGTTTTCAAAAGAGCTGCAAACAGGCCGTTTCAATGGATATTACTGGGGGATGATAGAGCCTGGTGGAGCTTGGAGCTTGTGGAGCTGGTGCTCAGAGTGGCACGTGACTGCCATGTTGTCATATATGCAGGTGGGTCGAATGGTGGCGAACCGAACGGCTACTATTTGCAGCCGTCCAGACTTCAGCTATTTTCCTATTCTGTGGACAATCTGATAATGTAAGCTTATTATATTTGAACCGCAATTCGTTTGGTTCTCAACCCTCTCGAAATGTCGCAAATCGGGCACCTTCATTTCCTGGCCGAGTCAAAGTTCAAAAACCTCAGGAATGAAAATAAAAATAAAATTTCTTAATCGCCTGAAGTGCTTTTTATTGACGAACATATTTGAGCAAAGCTAGACACTCTTGCCACTAGAATGGTTTCATGGGTAAAAAGTGCGAGCGAGGCCTATAATTTCTCACTGAGATAATCAAAACAGAGAACAGAGAGATAACTACACGGCATGTAATATTCTTCGGTAGATGTAATGTTGGCAATGTGCCCCTGATATTCAGACAAAACCCACGGCCCTGAAAAAATGAAGTCACGCAAAGAATAAGCGGTTCACCGCGGTTTTCGCTTTGGATCTTGAATCTTTTATCATACGAGATATTCATCTGATCAAACCCATCGAAGCATGCAAGGCTCGTCAACAGGTTTCACATCCACTAATATCAAGAAAAAGAACAAGCTCCCAACTGTGTCCAAGATAGAATATGTGGCGTGTTTAGGCATTGAAGAGAGTACGGGTTTTGTAAAGGGCTACTGGTTCTGACATGTTCTGAGTAAGGAACGAGTTGTGCTTTTTATGTAAACTTGAGAGTATGCATCTCTGATGGTTCCACTACTTTTGAAAAAGGTGAAATGATTGAATGTCTTTTTTCTTTGACTACTCTTCTGTTTTTCCGCATTGCATATAGACCATTCGTATACCGTGCACGTAGTTGGCCCTGATGAGCCATTGGAAAAGACGGGTAGAAAGCATTTCTGACAAGCTTGGTATTTGGAACTTCTTTGTCTCGGTGGCTTGCAAACCATAGAGTATAATTGAAATCCCAAATCACTTTGCTTCGTGACTGAATTGCCATGCTTCCCTGCCTCAGACTCTTCTCACAAAATGTCCTCACAAATTGATCCACAAAAAGTCACGTCAACACAGATGTCCAAATTCCCAATGCCTGTATCGTTAAAAGTTTCAATAGCCTTGGTACTCGCGCCGGATTTATCATTCAATGTATAATTCAATATATTCGCCAATTGACCTTCAAGCAATGGAGGGAATCTCTTATTATTGGATCGGAAATTCCGAGCATATATTGAACAAATAGTGATATGGCTAACTCTTATAACAGTACATATACCAAAATTATACTTGAAAATACACTAGCCTATAATGGCATCGAGACTAGGTCTTTGCATCCAAGAGAACAACCTAGTAGTGTACTTCCATGTTGATTGGATGTGGATCTAATAGATTCAAAATCGACTTCATCTTCAAACCACGAAACCTATGAAAATTAAGCTAAAAGTCGGCAGTTGGTATAGTTGTATCCATGTAGTCAGAAGAGCGCCCCATCTGCACCGAAGATCGGCGTGATTTACCAAATATTGCATGTCACCTTTGCGCTTAGCGCCGGTATTTCAGGCTAGGTAACAACTATAAGACTCCCGGGCATTTATCCGACCTAAAAGGGCTGATCTAATTGGTTTTGTGTTGAAGAATCAGAGAACAGGTCCGAGAATTTTGCGCCAATTAAACAAATCAATATTTACATCTCCAAGACACTTGAGTGTATTGGTGTTCCTAAAATCGTCGAGCACCAAAACTTTTTCCATACTGGGTGACGTATTTGATTGGAACAATGAAACATTGAAAAATGCTTTTTTTTTGTTTTTTTTTCTCTGATTTTTGCATTTCATCTTCAGATTCTCCACTTTTCAAAAAAAAAAAAAGAAAACGGATGTCCTCAAACAATTCGGCATTTTATCTGAGACACATCCAAAAACCCTGCCTGAGGATTCTACGCTCAAAACATGGGTTAAAAAACAAAAACACAAAACAAAAACACAAAACAAGAATAAGAGTGAAGATTGGAAGCTGGTTCAAAACAATCCCAATTCACAGAAAATCAAAGATGGACCGTAGTCGCATGGCGCAATTTAACCTGAGCCGAGACTTATAAAACACTTCGAGTGAAGCCGTTTCGCGAAAAATATGAGCTTAACTCTGAAGTCCAAAAGAGACTTTGGAGGGATCCTTGAGGTTTGGTCATTAAAATGTCATGGTAATAAATCATAAGGCTTTTGTGAGCTTTGGGCTCCTGTTGATGCATACGACTTCACATTGTAGCAATCTCTTTCAAAGAAATAAACCTTCTTCTGTTTATCCAAGCACACTCAGTATATCTCTGCGGCAAAACTACAATCGGAGAGATCGAAGCTCAAACAGAACGGTGACTGCCAAAGAAGCGGGATTCAGCATCACTAAGCCGAATTATTTTAATTGCCTTTTTGACTTATGGAAAAAACTGTTTTGGGAATAGGCGCTGGGAGCAAAAAGATTGCAGCACCACAATTTCGCATATGGTCTCCCACTACACTACTCAGTGTGGCCCTATGCAGCTTAACTAACGTTGATCGGACGGGAAACAGTGCTTCCTGCATGGTATGGCCGCAACCGTAAGTGAAACAAGGGTAGTTAAATACATGAGTAAACTCGTAATTTATTTGCGCGTGATTAGTCTCTTCATCATTAAACTCTGAAACACGCACTTGGCCAAACTTTATCACCTTCTCAAAGGTATTTAATAATATTTCATATCGTAGGGGTTTTCAAAAGACAATAACATCCGGGAGCTGCTAAAGGCGTTTTTACATATTGTTTGATTTTTTTCCTTTAGTAAAATGAATCTACCAGAAAAAAGAGACTTTGTTTTTTACAAAAGAAGAACATCATGAGATAGGGTGCTGTTAGAGGGTTATGAGACCCAACAACTAACAAAAACCATCAAGAATAACCTATAATAGATCGCAACATTGGTATCGCTCGCGATGTTACATCTGTCAATTTTAACAATACAGAGAAGATTAGCGTTGTCCTTGCATAAAGATGACACGCTATGTAAAGAGATCTATCATTTTTAGAAAAAATAAAATAAATTGGTTCGTCATCACGATTTTCAAGGTCTACACCAGAAGGCGTGGCGAGTCGCAGGAATTTGGCTCCTTAAGTCCGCTACAACCATCTGAGTTGAAGCGACTACTACAGGAGACCTATCCTAGGAGTCAATGACGTAATATCCAACACGTTAACAGATACGAGCCATGTGGACCGTCCAGGCCGTGACTAACGGAAAGGGACGGGCCGAGTTTTGACACTTGGTACGTAGCTGGGAGCTGTTGAAAGGTTATATATATATATATATATATATATATTATTTATATAGTTTTGCCTCTTTAATCAGATAAATCTACCAAAAAAAAATTTAGATCGCAACATTGGCTCAAGTAAGAAGACGCGAGCACCAATTCACAAAATCTCCCAAAGAGGATGTGACTTCTGCCCATAACCAATGTCAACCATTTGAATAAAATTAACTGAATGCCATCCTCCCATAGGTTATGTTTTTCTAGAGGCCGTGATCATTGCTCATTTGACAAGGTGACAAGACTTTCATTTGTCTTTGCCGCCTGGTCCCTGAGCAAATAAACCCTAAGAACGACTTCAACAAACCAATTGAGGTTTGTTTGATTGTCAAAAAATGATTTAAAAAGCGAGCCCTTCCCTCTAGTGCAATGGAGCTTGAGAGCCGATCTTTTTCCCCAAGAAGTGCGCAATCTCACATTCATTGTAGAGGTGGGCTAGCTTCTAATTACTATGGCAGCGTTTCAAACACAGCCTGCATTCGAATCATGACTCTCCAACTTCAATATAATGAAAGGGAACATAGGAGCCGTGAACTCACAAATGTCCTCTTTGCAAAATTGAAATGTATAACAGAGACACCACACGTATCCTTGGCCATCTATAACAAAATACAAAATCCACATAAGGTGGTCAGAGATTCCGCTTTTCGAACCCATGGCTTTCTATGAAATTGGCTCTGGTCGACAACTTTTAGTTAGAAGAGCGCCAAATTAGTACTGGTTATCCATCACAAGTTCCAATGCACTCAAAAGGCGATATGGTATAGTAATATTCGTCTTACGGTGAGACAATTGCCTTCAAGCAAAATCTGTAAATTTGATACAAAAGGAGAAATAAAGGTTAATAACAAGGATATTGTAACTCGCAACTGAATAGATAAATTGCAAATTAATCTGTTTGTAGAATTTGATTTTCTTAATATTCAAGATGATTTTAAGATGAAAATAATAATGATCAAGAATAAAGCCCCGGGAGTCACAAGATGCAAACTGCATTAAGCTTCTCGGACCATTTAGGCTGAAGCGCACACTTCAAATGGATGGAGTAACATCTAATATGCAAACAGATGCTCGGAGGGACGGACCGTGACATATGGAGCGGAGAAATTAGTAATTACACGCGACACTATGTAGCACTTAGAAGCTTGCTGAAGGAATTTGCTTTGTTTTATTGTTTTCCATTTCGGAACTATCCCGGTTGGATCTGAACCTGCACCGGGGTATTCATTTGAGTTGCTTGCAACATATATTCTAATTTGCAATCTTTTCTGGTGTTGTGGGGTGGAAAGGACGGGTGAGACAAAGAAGAGGGAACTTCGGAAATAACAGTGGGAATAACGCATGAGAACGTATAAATGAGGTGGAAATTACGGGGAGGAAAGTTGGAGTAAATTAGAAGGGGAAATAGAAAGAGAGACTATGAGAAGTGAGGTATAAGGGAGAGAAGCCGGAAAAATGAGAAGATGAAACAGTTGAAAATTTAAACAGAGACCGTAATCAGGGAAGATATTGGGAAAAGGCAAAACCAGAGACGAGAGGCAGACCGATTCGAAATTGGAGGGCGCGACATTAGAACCTGAACCGACAGCCTTACAGGCGGCTTCTCTTCGAATTTGATTTATCCCATAAATTCCGTATTTTTGCTAGTTATATGTAATTCTTCTGAAAATTTTCTGTGAAGGTGAGGTTTACTGAGATTCATGGCGAAGTGCTGTCAGCGTCTTGGTGTTTCTGGAGGCCTGAACCAGGGCACTTGGGGTGAAGCGGCCCGGGGAAAGGCACAATAAAATGAAGCGAAGGAATATCACAAAGAGGACAGACAATTTTCGACCCCAACTATTCCAAACCGGGAAAAATTCAACCCTGGTACACCCAGCTCCAGAGAACTGTGAAGACAAAAATAAAAAAAGATACGCATCGATTGGCGTGGCCACAGCCTTGGATTCTACCCAGCGTTTCGACAGTGAGCAGCCACGCCATCAGATCCGGTGCTTGTTTCCCCCTTGAATTCGTGTTGCTTCCATGCTGTGATTCTTCATTGGAATTTGAGCCCTAGCACAGTGAAAATAAATGGCCATGCTGCGTAGATTCTTGCCCACTGAAACAAAATTAAATATACAGGAGGGCCTATCTTTAGAGTTTTTGAAGTGGTTGAAGATGGCACTTTTCTTTTTTTCTACGTCAACTATTATAGTTCAGTATATGGTTTCCTGTGGCACGCATATTGACAAGGTGTCCACTACGCATGAACTCGGGTATATTTCTCTGGGCAAGAGTGATACATTCACCTAATACATTTCACTAGGCATGAGTGGGTTCACCCAATACAGTTCACTAGACATGAGTGGGTTCACCCAATACATTTCACTAAACATGAGTGGATTCACCCAATACATTTCACTAGGCATGAGTGGATTCACCCAATACATTTCACTAGGCATGAGTGGATACTCCCGCTCTACCATTTCCGCACTCAATCTATTATCTCCAGGCCTCCTCTGGTTAAGATTTCCCATCTCAGAAAACCCTACTGCGCCCCGAGGTTTCTTACCGGAACCACTTCGCACCATCAACTATCTCGGTGCACCTACTATGTACGCTTGACTGCATTT